AGCCCCACCTGCTGGGTGCTGGGTTAAAGGATATGTGAAGTGAAATGAGGGGCTGTGAGGAAATTCCCACTTTTCCAGAGGACTGAGTTTGGCTTTTTTATTTGTGCTGACTGATCTCGGTCATCAACTTGACATCTGGAATCAGCTAAAAGCCTAGCTACTGGGCACACCCGTGTGGCATTTTCTTAGTCAGATTATTTGGATCAGGAAGACTGATCCTAAATCCCAGCTACACCTCTTGGTGGCAGGCTGTCTGCCATGTACCTGCTTGCCCTTACTCTTGCTGGCAAGTTTATCCACGCTACTGTTGCAGCCTGCATGAAACTGAACTTCTTCAGAACGCCAGGGACTGGAAACGAGCAGCTCTCCAGAAGTCTCCCAGGACTTGAGCCGTAGAACAGGAAGGGGGAGACAGCAGCCTCATAGACTGGACAAATGGGGAGACATCCAGCCAGCCAGCATCCTGGAGAGAACAAGTAGTGACTTCTCTGTCTTCCTGCTGTGAAACGGCCATTGTTGCGCTAAACTTACCAACTGACTGATCAGTTCTTCAGAGAAACCTGGCTAACACAGACTGGGGTACAGCAAAGTTATCTAGGATCTCTAAGGTGATTTAACCTTTCAAAACCAGAGATGCGGGCTGGAAAGATGGTTCAGCTATGAGGAGTACTTGCTGTTCCTGCAGAGGAACTGAATCTGATTCCTAGCTCCCACGGTGGCTCAGCCCCTCTGTAACTCCAGTGCCAGGCGATCTTATACCCTCTTCTAGCTTCCATAAGCACCAGGCATAGATGTGGTGGCCTCTATGCAGCGAAACACTCATACAAATAAAATAAAATAAATCAATTTTAAAAAGCAGGAGGGGTGCTGGAATAAAGACACACCCATTTAAAATGACCCTGGTCACTGGGCAGTGGCGCGTGCCTTTAATCCTAGCACTCAGGAGGCAGAAGCAGGCAGATTTCTGAGTTTGAGGTCAGCCTGGTCTACAGCATGAGTTCTAGAACAACCAGGGCTATACAGAGAAACCCCATCTGCAAAACAAACAAAAAGCAAAAAACAACAACAACAACAACAACAACAACAAAAAAAAAAACAAAACACCAAGAAAACAGATGACCCCTGTGTGGACAGAACACATTACCTAGAATATATTCTAGTCAAGTCTTCATTTAACCAGCATGTAAATTACCTTCAAATTTATAGGAAACAGTGGCTAGAAAAACAGACAAAAAAAGATACCAAGAGGCACTGTAGGCCCTTCCGTGGACACGAAGCTGTCTTCCCTGCTAGCAGCAGGCAGGGGGATAAAAAAGTTCTTCAGGCAGAAGTGCAGACGCAGTTGCCCTGGCCAGTGCATCGCTGGACTGGATTCTGGCTCCAATAATCAGCAAGTACGGCTATTTTTGAAACAAAGGGAGTAATGACTGCCAGGGCAGGAGAGGGCAAGGATAGGATAGGGATGGAGAAGAGGGGGAGATGCGGAGAGAATGCCAGGGGTTACACGAGGAAAGCACCAGAAACAAACAAGAAATGCAGGGCCATGAAGGCAAAGCGAGTTCCAAGAATAGTGATGGCCTGGTGCCAGGGTCTACTGGAGTGGCAGGGATACAGCAGGCCCAGAGCCACGGTGAAGACATCAGCTACCTGAGTGTCCTTATGTTTAAATGTCCAGCTATCCCCTGACCTTGCCCTTGGCTCCTAGAAACCACTCAACTCCCCAGGCAGCCAGCTCAGCACAAGGCTGTCCCTTTTCACCCTTCTAGAAACAGGCTCATTGGCTGGAGAGCCCCAGTGGCCTGCCTGCACTGCAAGGTAGCCCTGGAGCTCATGCCTGCCCTTCTCTCTGGTGACTTTGGGGCCCTCCTCTCTCTACCCCAAGTGCCACCCAAACTGCATTTGGTAGGGCAGTTTCCCATCAAGATGCCTGCCACTTCCCAGTCCTCTCCTGTTTTCTTTCTTCTTCCCACTCCCTCAACACTTCCTAGCTGGAAGAACTCCCATTTCCCCAGCCAGTCCACAAAGATAACAGTCCCCAGCTCACAGAGCTGCTTCTAGAACCAGAAGCTGTTGCGGGGAAAGGGCCATCACCCTCACATTTCCTCCGGTGCCATGTGCCCATGGGACTGGAGTTAGGCGGGTCCCTAACAGGCAGGTAGGGACAGACCACAAATAATAATAATAAAGATAATAAAGCTAACAAATGTTCCTCCCCCACACCGCTGACCTCAGCCAAAGACCCAGCTTACCTGCCCTGCCCCCAGCCTGACAACATCAAGGCCACATAAGGTCATGCTTATCTCTAAGTTGTGGGCTCATCAGTGTCCCTGTCTTTGTTTAAACTGACCAGCCTTAGGCAAGGGGATGAGGACATCTCACAGACCATCAAAACCCCAGTCTTCAAGAGGTCTAGATTGGGTTTCTGCTCTGCAGAGGGTCTTCCTGTGGGCTTTGCCCTCTGTGCTTCTTCCTCTATCAGCAGAAGCTCCCCCACCACTTTTCAAACTGTTAATTCTGTTGGCTACATGGGAGATCTTCCATGCTGTGTGTGTCCTTAAATTCCTGTTGTGTCTTTATATTCCTACCTTTTAATTCTCTAAGGGTCCCAGAATATGAGTCCAATCAAGACTCCTGGGTGGCATCATGCCCATTTGGATATTAATAAAAGATCTGGACAGGAACCCACATTTTAGCATTGAATGGAGCCTTCTATATCCTGAGAAGGTAAAAATAGATGCTGGAGTCACTGAGTGTCTCCGGCTGAGGCCGGACCTTATTTGCAGGACAAAGCTTTTACTAATTTTATAGCTCCGTGGAAAATATTTTTGAACAGAATTGTAAATACCCATTTAGAAGTCATGACACATTGGTTTTCCCCCTGCCAGGTTATTGGCAAGGATGCTCAGCATGTCTTTTCTTTTTAATTCTGGAAAAAGGTCAGGTGCCTATTTCTTCCCTGGCCAGTGGAAACCTTCATTCTTAGAACAGAGCCACCCTCGTCACTAAGCCACCAAGGCCACCCTACCCCTCTGTGCACAGCAGAAAGACACAGGTAAAAGGCAGGTTTCAAGCCTGAGTTTCCTGCCAGTGAGTCCCGCCCCAGGCGTTCACAGCACTGCCCGGCAGCCTCCACTGCAGTGGTGTGGGTTGCAGGGACTGTGGTCACAGGGGACACTTCACAGTTTGTCTTCTAAGGTGGAAAACTCTCCTTTGATGCAACTAAAGCCAAGGGAGGTGGTGACAGCATTTTGCACGTGGGAGGCCAACCTAAAGCCCCAGCAAATCCCTGTGCTCTGTGATGCAGGCTTGGTGAGCCGGGTGAGGAAGAGCTGAGAGGTGGGCTCAGCTTTCATCTTTCAAGCCATCTTTAGGACACAATCAGCAGCTCTGGGAGCCTGCACGGTGTTCTCTCCTGGGCTCAGATGATGCGGCCAAAGAAAATCCTTCTGATACCCCAGTTTTGCTGAGAAGAGAAAGACAATTACCCAGCAGCTCCTAAGCAGCTGCTACAAGCTGTGCATCTTTCAGATGTTAGTACCATTAGTCAGAGGCTTGCTGAGGAGAAATGGAAAGCTTGCCTGCTCGCCCAGACAACAGAAAAGAACAGCTATTGCGCAAATCTAAGTTCCAGGGTCCCTACAAAAGCGGGAGTTGAGGGGTCCTCTCTGGCATCCCCAGGACTCATGAACTGGACTGGGAACACATACTTCACGTACCTCCTGCCTCTGGTGTCACAGTGCCCCTCCAAACAGCCGTGACAACCCCTGGCTTCAGTGGACACTGGAGCCAACAAGAGGGCTTCTTGCATACCAATGAGTTACTAGATCTGCTGCTGGGGTATGGAAGTTACCAACATGTGTCCTCAAAACTGCGTTCTCAAACCACATAGCTATTCAAATTTAAATGAATGAAAGTGAAATAAATTGAAAAATTCAGTTTCTAGGTCACAGGTGCTCAAGATGGCTAGTGGCTTGGGATGGAACAATCCAGAACATTCTACCATCACAGAGAGTTCTACTGGGCATTTTCTAGATGCTTCCCTAGCTCACTCAGTCATTGAATGTCATTCACCATGCTTGCTGTAGCCATAATGACCTGTTGACAGTATCACTGATAGTCACAAAAAAATGGCAGGGACCCCGCATCCAAAATTAAGACTTGCCTGAGCCCACACATTCAGAACAACACAATCTCTATCCTAAGAATGCTTGTTCAGCACTGCACAAATAACACAGAGTCCAGACTCCACTCCTGGCCCTGCTAATGCCCGAGAAGCTACACGCATCACACCTGCCGTCAGAAGCCCATTGGGCTCTGCAGGGATCTACAAGTTCTGTGCTCCATCTCACTTCCTTAGGAGTCCTGCCGACTCACAACCCTCAGGACGTGTGCACACTGGCAGGCTAGTCAGCCACACACTCCAAACTCCTTCCTTGTCTCTGAAGGTGACTCCATTCACCACCATGTTAACCCCAAACTTTCTAGGCTCAAAACCCTTTAGCTCTGTGGACAGACTTTCCCTCTGCCCCCAAAGTTGACATCACGAGTGCTATTCCACTCACAAAGCCAAATGATGAGCCCACTTCTAGGGCACAGTATTGGGCATGTGAGATTCAGGAGGCTTGTGTTCCAGTGCAGCTCACTGGGGCCAGGTGCTGCCACCATTCCCTGCCGTCTGCTCCACGGTGCTGCTGTTGCTACTTCAGACGGTAATGCTACTACAGACAGTTGGCACTTCTGGAGTGCCATGAACTGAGGGGGGGCAATTAACAGTTACAGGCAGTCGTACGTTCAAAAGCTATCAAGATACAGGTTACCATCAGTGAGGCAAAGCCATGACCTTCACCTGAGAGGACACCAGGTCACTTTATGAGATCTGCTTGAGATATGTTAATCAGAAATCAAACACTGTGTGTGCATTGACCATGCAGCTTTTCTGATGGAAGGTGATGGAAAGGGGAGGGTCACGGGACTAGGAGGGGCTGTGGGGCAGTCCTTACCATTGGCCATGCCAAGGTGGAAGACGGCGTTCACCAGCACACCGCCTTTCCGGAAGTGATCACTCATGTGCTCCAGCCAGCTGGCATCCAGACTGTTCACTGTCTGGCCGTTCCTGGAGACCTGGAGGGGGATGGTGACGGGATAGTACTGCCGACACTTCTGCTGGTTCTTCGGTCTGTTGAAAAAGGCGAAGATCTCCATTTCTGTGGGGATTTGTAAAAAGGATGGAGAAAGGAAAAGTTAGTCCACAGCACGAATCTGCTAAACCGGGTTTGGTGGCATCATCTCCCCGGAGCCTGAGAAAGGGCAGCAGCTGTGAATCCCTGGTGCCACAACCCTGCCAGAGAATAAAACTCCACTCCTAGCAGCAACTGAAGTTGCTCCAAGGGACAAAGGACTCAAAAGTGCGCTTGATGGAGGCTGTGGTGTGTTTTGTTTTGAGATGGGTTTCATGCGGCCCAGGCTGGACTCAAACTGAATCTAGGATTCTCCTGCCTCTACTTACCAGGTGCTTGAATTACGCGATGCTCAGTTTCGGTGGTTCTGGAGACTGAACCCACTTTATGCATGTGAGTGGGACTAGGTTCTGAACACGGGATTTAATAGATAACTGTTATTGGAATTAATTTGCATTGTTAAGCATCTGGAAGAAGTATATTTCTAGAATTGCGTACATAAGTGTTTGCAAAGTAAATGTAATAGTCGTAAAAACAAAAACAAACAAATAAAAAAAAGGAGATTCACAAAAAGAAAACCACTTCTCTAATTCCAGGAAGCTTTTAACATCCCTGAACTTGATATTTATAAACTGCAGGAGAGTTTCCTGGGGCCAAACCCATAATACTCCATCAAGTACATCAAGTACATTGATATGTAAAAATAAACATGTTCCAGTAAATGGGGGTTCCTGCCTAGAATAGCAGGTCAGCTCAATCAGCCAGGCAGGCCCTGGGTGTGAAGCTAGAAGCTCTCCGCTCTTTCATTTGTAGCCCAGAAATCAATAATCACCACCACCCATCCCTGGCCACTGATTTGCTCCTGCTGTTCACGCTGCCAGCCACGGTTAGCGGGAACCGCTGCCAGGAGCAAATACCTGGAATTTCAATCTTCGCTGGAGAGCCAATTTCTGTACCGTTCATTTACTAAGGCGATCAGAGCTGACCCAGCTTAGAAAGCTTTGCTCCCACAGGCTGGCTGGGAATATGCACTGGTTGCCAAAGGCATCATTTGAGGCGATATGAAAATCCCGCCACCTCTCAAACAGAAAGCATAAAGGCCATAAAGAACGGTTGGCATTAGGGAGAAGGACAAATCATGCATGTGTTCCGGACAGGGAACACCTGCACTACTCCGGAATGTAGGCTTCCACACTTCAGGACCGTGACACTTGGGTGGTATCTAAGTACTAGCTTGTGTGTGTGAGCATGTGTGTGTGTGAGAGAGAGCATGTGTGTGTGAGTGTGTGTGTGTAAGCATGTGTGTGTGTGTGCGTGCATGTGAGAGCATGTGTGTGTGTGTGAGCGTGTATGTGTGAGCATGTGTGTGAGCGTGTGTGTTTCCTTTGCTGCTTTTTGCCAATTGCCTTGAGATGCTGTCACTCGCTAAGCTTGTCGGTTGGGTTGGACTACATGACCAGCAAACTCCCAGACTGCCCACTCAACCCTGCAATGGTGCTTTACACGCATGCCTAGCCTTACCTGGCTTTTTACTTGGGTTCTGGGGACCAAACTCAAGCTGCATGCTTGTACAGCAAGTACTCTTATCCAGGGGCCAACTCCACATACACTGATTATTCTTTTAAACTGGCTAACTTTCCTTCATTTAAATAACAGGATTTAACAAGAGAGTTTTCTTCTTGACCACAGAGGTAAACCACTCCTGCTTGCTCTACTGCCATGCAGGGCCAGGAGGTAAGAGCAGCAAACACATTCATCCCTGTGACCCCTGAAAAGTTTATGATGTAGGAGACTCATTCTAGAACAAAGGGAATCCCCTACCCTCTAGTCAAGCACTTGTAAGGTCCCCAAGTCATAAAACTGCTGTTATAAACAGCTGAACTGACTGAGAGTTTCATCAAGCTATTCCATCCAACAGAGGTGTGCCTTGCTTTGGAAACTGTCGTCTGATTGTATGCAACAAACGCAAGCCCCAAGTCAACTACCTTTTCAGTCCACCTGCCTGACCCAAGATGCCGTAACTGTACCAGAATTTAGGTCCAATCACTAGACTATGCCATGATGATGGAGACAGCTGGAGATGTGAGGAAACGACCAGAGATTGAGGATAGGACACGAATAAGCTGGGTGACTAGGTGTCTTCTGGCCCTGTACCCGAAGTTCAATAAAGGCTGCTAAGAAGAACCCCATCTGAACCTTTGATATTATTGAATATATCTCATATGTAATATATCACGTATTTTCACGGGCTGTTTGAACTTACAGAGAAGCTAGCTCTTGAGGTGGGTCTGCCTGTCCCTGTTTCACACCAAAGCATGCCTGTGTCAAGTGTGCTCCAAGAACACTTGTCTGGGAATGGGCTCTCCTCCCAACTCAGTGACAGAGAGGAAAGAACAGCAATACAGCTCAAGAGTAAAAACACTGTGCTGAAGAGAAGCCAGAACGCCAACTTATCAGATGTTACTGTTCTTTATCCCAAAGCAGGAAAATGCCAGCAACAGGAGTGAGGGCCAGTTTAGCCATGGGGAGGAGGCTCAGTTGGGACTCTGGCTGCGTGCCTCAACTTCCTCCACCGATTTCTGCTGGATGGTGTAAGCATCTGGCCGAATGGTGTTTTGCTGTCTGTCTGTCTGTCTGTCTGTCTACCTACCTACCACCTATTTGCGGTTTATTATTTTTATTTTGACTTGCTGTATACTTAGTAATTCACTCATTCAAAACAAAAAAAAAATGGCTATCATTGCACATTCTGCACACCCTTCAGAACAAGGAGTGCAGAGAGAGAGAGAGAGAGAGAGAGAGAGAGAGAGAGAGAGAGAGAGAGAGGGAGGGAGGGAGGCCTCATCACGGACCCAGGGTCACTGGCAGACCTCAACTCAGGTGCATCCAGGTTTAGTCCACAAAACAGGCCCTGTAGGTGGTTACAGTTAAGCACAAATGCAATTTGAGCAAGAACTCAGAGCTGCTGCACTGGGAGAAGTGAGAACTTGGTTGAGGCCACACCTGGTAGTTCTTGAACACACAGAAGGGCCATCCCCACTCACATGGTGCAATAAACATCACATTTCCCAATGCATAATGAAACAGAAAAGGAGCAAGGCTGAAATGAGAAGAGAGAAGGCTGCAGTGGTGGAAGAGGGAGGGAGGACTGCCGGACAAGGCAGCATCTAGGCTCTCCAGGCTCCATCCTCCCCAGGAGGCTCCATCCCCCCCCCAGGAGGATCCATCCATCCTCCCCAGGAGGCTCCATCCTCCCCAGGAGGCTCCATCCTCCCCAGGAGGCTCCATCCTCCCCAGGAGGATCCATCCATCCTCCCCAGGAGGCTCCATCCATCCTCCCCAGGAGGATCCATCCATCCTCCCCAGGAGGCTCCATCCTCCCCAGGAGGCTCCATCCATCCTCCCCAGGAGGCTCCATCCTCCCCAGGAGGCTCCATCCTCCCCAGGAGGCTCCATCCATCCTCCCCAGGAGGCTCCATCCTCCCCAGGAGGCTCCATCCTCCCCAGGAGGCTCCATCCATCCTCCCCAGGAGGCTCCATCCTCCCCAGGAGGCTCCATCCTCCCCAGGAGGCTCCATCCTCCCCAGGAGGCTCCATCCTCCCCAGGAGGCTCCATCCTCCCCAGGAGGCTCCATCCTCCCCAGGAGGCTCCATCCATCCTCCCCAGGAGGCTCCATCCATCCTCCCCAGGAGGCTCCATCCATCCTCCCCAGGAGGCTCCATCCATCCTCCCCAGGAGGCTCCATCCATCCTCCCCAGGAGGCTCCATCCATCCTCCCCAGGAGGCTCCATCCATCCTCCCCAGGAGGCTCCATCCTCCCCAGGAGGCTCCATCCATCCTCCCCAGGAGGCTCCATCCATCCTCCCCAGGAGGCTCCATCCATCCTCCCCAGGAGGCTCCATCCATCCTCCCCAGGAGGCTCCATCCTCCCCAGGAGGCTCCATCCTCCCCAGGAGGCTCCATCCTCCCCAGGAGGCTCCATCCTCCCCAGGAGGCTCCATCCATCCTCCCCAGGAGGCTCCATCCATCCTCCCCAGGAGGCTCCATCCTCCCCAGGAGGCTCCATCCTCCCCAGGAGGCTCCATCCTCCCCAGGAGGCTCCATCCCCCCCAGGAGGCTCCATCCATCCCCCCCAGGAGGCTCCATCCCCCCCAGGAGGCTCCATCCATCCTCCCCAGGAGGCTCCATCCTCCCCAGGAGGCAATACTGAAGCTAGAGACATTTTTTTTCCAGGAAGGAAAGGGAGATGCTGCGTGAGGAGCCCCAGAAGTGCAGTGATGATACTGAGAGAGACCTGATCTCAGACACACAACCCTTTCAGTCAGCTCCTTCATTCACATGGAAACCAACCAAGAGAAACTGTCCAAAAATGATGTGCTGTCAAGTTCTCATGTCCCCCAAACTCCAGTCCACTTCTTACGTGAGCAGGGACCGAATTCTGAAGAGGAGCCTCGGGTCTGCTTAAATTCCCTTATCTGCTCTATAAGTCTACCCTGACCCTGGCTGGAGCATTTTTTGCAGATGTGGGAGAGGCCTGTTTCTGAGAATGGCTGAAGGGCCGGGCTAGCAGAGAGTCCGGAGAGCATCAGCATGTCTGTCCTCCTTCCCTGTGGGGCCTCGTCACACTTCATTTAGGATTCTTCGCTCACCAAAGCCCCTGTGCCATGGTTGTTGCCTCACATGCTTGAGATTGACCTGAGCAGGACCAATGGAGGACATGGAGACCCGGGCTGGGACTGGCCAAGTGCAGGCTGAGGGTCCTTGCCATGCTGTAGGGAAGCAGGCAAGGGAAAGGCTTGCAGTTCTGAGTCCCATCCCGGGGCTTGAGTGCTGAGCTCTATAGTTCAGACGGAAACCTGCAGCTTGTTAGTCTGCAGTTATGGAATCAGAGAGCTGGAACATGTCAATGAGCCACAGAGGCTGGTTAGATTTCAGCTTCAAAGGAGAGTTCTAGTTTGGAAGAAACAGAATTGAGAACTGAATATGAATTGTGGTCATCAAAAGCCAGACTTGGGGGAGCCAGCTGAACTGGAAGAATCAGTCTTAGCTGGGTGGGAACTGCAGGTGGCTCGGGTCATGGGCAGGGTGGGGGGGGGGACTGAGATGAAAACCTTCTCTTATGGTAAGGCTCTTGGTGCTGTGGCGGGAATATGCCACCAAGGCTGCGACTCAAGCAGGGTGCCAGCACAGCCACCTGACACAAGAGCAAAGGACAGAGACCAGTGTGTTACCAGTCGATGGTAATGAAGTCACACATGCTGAAGGAGACCCAGACATAGGTACCACCAAGGTGTGACCTCCCACCACACCTAACTCTCAACTTCCACAGGAAGTTCTATGCCTGACAGAATCAGGTGCATCACTCAGAATTCCAGCCAGTGAGTGGCAGAGCCCAGAGGCTTTCAAACCTCTCACGCCTTGGGCTCATGCCCCAAATCTAGTAAGAAGTTAATATACTAGAACACAAAATAGAAGCTGGTGACCACAGTTGGGGACATCAGGAGGAGTGCCTAGAAGGCCACTGAAAAGAGCCCTCTCAGTCAGAAAGGTGCTGACACTTCACCCCCGCTCTGGCTGGCACCTTACGCTTAATCTGGCTGGCACACCCAGATGGTTCTTGCTTCTTGAGCAAAGGTGTTGCTAGGGGTACTGGGGTTGTATTTCATAGGGATTTCATAACAACAGGAAGTTCCCAGATGAGAAATACGAGTCAATGAGCAAGAACAAGAAGTGTATGGCTCCTGGACCACAACATGGGGATGGAGTCAGCCTACCTGCTCTCCTTAGACTCCTGGACCACACTGCAGGGATGGGTCAGCTCACCAGCTCTCCATATAACTCCTGGACCATGCTGTATGGGTGGGTCAGTTCACCTGCTCTTCCTACAGCTCCTGAAAGTCCACTGTGAACTGTCCCTGACTGGATCCACTCCTAACTGCCTCCTACATAGGAAGCAATTAACAGAGGAGGAGGAGGGACTAGGAGGGGGCATCGAAATTCTTTCTGAATTGTCTTGCTGTAGTTGCCCACCTGGCAGAAACATTTCAACTTTCTTAGGGGGGTGGGGGTGGACCGACAGGAGGCAAAAGGAAAGCTGAAGAGGGTGTGGGATGGCAGGCTGGTTCTGGGTGCTGCATGGATGTTTCCAAGACAGGACAGTGAACATAGGCCTCAGGGAAGAAATCAGCTAAACTCCATAGGAAAAGGCTCAGGAGAGAAGCTGGGGTCAGGCAAGGGCTATGACCTCTGGAGAAAGGGTCCTCAGTGTCCAGCCTTCAGGAAGGGAACTTGCCTTATCTACAGCATGGGCGCCACAGAAGCCATCTCCTGTCACAGTTGTGGTGAGGAGCGATTGAGATAACACATGGGAAAACTGGACCAGTGCCCTCCGCTAGTAACTCATGTTTATCAACTAACAGAATAAGCCAGCGAGGGGACAAGACAGTCTGTGAGCTGTTTGCAAGGCAGGGCCCGGGCTGTATGTGCAGCGGTAGGTAGCTGCCTATCTGGGGACTAAAATGGGGTTTGAGGCCTAAGCTTTTGCCTCTCATCAGTAGGAAATCCCAATCCCACTTACAGTTGGGCTGAGGCCTCTGTGATGCATTAACCCGCCACTTCCCAAAGGTCTGAGGCTGCAGGAGAGGACATGGTACTGAGGCTGCAGGAGAGGACACGATCCTGAGGATGCAGGCGAGAACATGGCCCTAAGGATGTAGGAGATGACATGGTCCTGAGGCTGCAGGAGAGGACACAGCCCTGAGAATGCAGGAGAGGGCACGTCCCTGAGGCTGCAGGCCATGTACTCTGCCTGTTAGGGAGAGGTTCCCATACTCAGCCATAGGAGATCCTGGGCCCAGAGGGAGGCAAGGAGCCACAGGAAGGAATCAGGGTACTGGACATCTGAGAAGGGTCTTAGGAGAGGCCTCCCAGGGTCAAGGATTGATTTTAGAAAGCCAAGAGACTTGGGGTCTAGGACAAAGGTGGGTTCCATGACACAGAGATCTCTGCACTCCTGACAGGCTCCCGGGATCCATGGCCTCCTTTCTCCTTAAGGCCAGATTCTGTGAGGGTGACACCGTGGAGCCAGGGCCCTGAATAGCAGCTCAGACAGGGAAGTCCTTAGTACCAAGCACACATTGAGCCTTTAAAGGAAGCTACAGTCCCTTTATAGAACAAGGTAGGGCATGTGTCCGGACCTAGCTAGAAGCTGTGCATAGACACTGGCTTCTTACCCATGGTGTTGCTTGCCTCACATGGCTTCCATCTCTTGCTCCTGGGGTTCATGCCTGACCTGTGCCCTCATGTTCCTCATGGTTTCATAGACACCCTTCCTGTTTCTCAGAATTCAGTCCCATGAGTTTCTCAGGAGCTTTGCATGGGATCTAAGTATGAGCTACCATCAGGGTGGAATGAAAAATCGTATGAACAGCTCTAACCAAGGAGCAAGGTCTTGACTGAATGATAGCTCCACTACATCTCAGAACTGAGGCACCCCAGTCTCTCCTTTGGAGGGACCCTGCAGTTAGATCTCAGAACTGAGGCACCCCAGTCTCTCCTTTGGAGGGACCCTGCAGTTAGATCTCAGAACTGAGGCACCCCAGTCTCTCCTTTGGAGTGACCCTGCAGTTAGATCTCAGAACTGACTGTCTAGTAATTTTCTTCTCAAGAAGTTCTGATGTGGTCAAAGAAACCATTTCCCTACTCTCCACACACCCTTATCATTTGCAAGAGGACAACTTCAAGCACTAGTTAGTACAGCAGCAACGATATAGAAAGGTCTAAGCAGATGCCCTCTGAGGCTCTTTGTGTATTCTATTATCAGACAACTCATGGCCACCTTCCAAAAGCCAAAGAGACCCCATTGCTAGCATAAGGATCTCACTCAATGGATGTGGCTTCCAGCCAAAAGTAGAAAACTGAGACTATGAAAATCACAGAAGGCTTCAAGGAATCTTACCACCCTATCCATTACACAGGGAAGACCCAGCAGAGAGGTGTCATGGATGGTGTCAACCCCGCCTGCGGTCCCATGCTAGGTGTGCCATCTCCCAGTTCAAGTGGTAAGCCCTGAATCATAAGACCAGCACAGGAAGTACTAATAAATGTTGGCTATTACACCTGTGCTGTTATGTGACGTCATCAATGCAACGACCATTACCACTGACAAAGAAATCCCAGACTGGTAGCCTCTGTTTGGTGGAGCATTTTCTCCATGGTGCCCACCTTTCAACTGCATACACTCCCTGCAATCCGGATGTTTGCATCCTAGCCAGCAGCACACTACTCTTGCATGCTGTGCCCTCCACAGCTTTCATGTACTCTTGTTTTAGGCAGACATTCAGAAGTGGAATGTCCAAGCTCATTGCAGAGTGGCCCACAAATGCTGCCTCTGTGAGGGCGGAGAAGTACCCGGCAACATGGCAGCATGGCATGAGACTATTTCATCTAAACCACTTTGGAGTCCCTGTAAGCCACTCTCACGGGCTTTGTTCCTCCCATGACCCACAACTGCTGCAGGGAAATAAGCAGCTATGCAGTCCAGATAGACTTTCTCTTGCTCAACGGACTGCCGTGTCTACACAGTAGCGCAACTTCTCTCTCCCTAGGCTCTGCGACGTACTGAAAAGCCCTTAGTCTCTGTTTATGCAGGTCAAAACTCCTGGTGCTGACACTTACTCCTTGAGAGCAGCTCTTCATGTCCATTTGAGTGGTCACCGTCTGGTACATCCAGTGCTGGGCTCAACTCCCGCAGAGGAAAGTCATCAGCCTCTGTCTCTTCTGAGGGAGTGGGAATGCCAGGCTGCTGGGCGCTAGGCACCTCCCTGCTTGGGCTGGGCTCTGGTCTTTGGTTCACTCTGGCAGTGGCAGCATCCATATCCTTTGGGGTATCATTTTCCAAGGATGCATGGTCCCCAAAGGTATGTTTCCCATCCCTGGCATCCACAGCACTGTTGGCAATGGGAATTGATCGGCTGCTGCTGGCAGAGTTTGCAGAGGGCTGGTACTGAGGCACCGCACCAACGAACTTCAAGCCCCGACTTGCAGCTTCCTGTACCTGGGGGACAAAGGAAAAGAAGGAAGTGTTGTAAATAGGACACGGGCATGGTCAGGTACTAGGTCTCTGTAAATTCCTAGTGTAAACACAAGGACCACCAGGTTGCAGAGGCCTGGACAGGTAAGTCAGGCTGGTGGGTCACTGTTGGAAAACTTAAGTATTTGTTGGGTTCTTTGTTTTGTTTCTCGAGACAGGGTTTCTCTGTGTAGCTTTGGAACCTATCCTGGAACTGGCTCTGTAGACCAGGCTGGGCTTGAACTCACAGAGATCCACCTGCCTCTGCCTCCTGAGTGCTGGGATTGAAAAGGTGCACCACCACCATCTGACAAGCATTTGGTTATGGAAGCGTGTGCTCTGTGTGTGTGTGTGCACACCTGTGCACATGCACTTGTGGATGCCATGTTACAGATAGCTGTGAGCTGCCTGACATAGACAGATGCTGGGATCTGAACACTCAGGTTCTCTGCAAGAGCAGCAAGTGGTCTTTCTGCTCAGCCATCTCTACCCTTATGTTTTTATTTTGGAGACAGTGTGCCACTATGTAGTATTGGCTGGCTTTGGTCTAAAATTCCTCCTGAGCATGCTTCCCTAGAGCTGGCATTATAGGAAGGAGCCACTGATACCTTTCCCCCCTTCTCGGTGTATTTGTATGACATATGGGTGCACATGTGTGCATGTGAGTATAGAGGCCAGAGGTCAATATCAGAAGTCTTTCCTTAGCTTCTCTCCATATTGATTTTTTGAAACTCATCTGCTTGTCTAGGCTGACTGACCAATGAGCTCCAGGGATCCACAGCTCCAGACACACCCTGTCTCTCCCCAGCACCCCAGCAGTAAAACTGTAGCATGAGTTGCCATTTTCAGTTTTTAACTGGAGTTTTGTGGATTCAAACCCAGGTCCTCATGTTTTCGTGGAAGGCACTTTAACAGCTGATCAGCTCCCAGAACCTTTTACTTTCATTTTGTACGAGGCTGAGAAGGGGATCTGAGAGAATGAGCTCAGACAAAGAGAACTGGAAAGAGGAAGTCCTGTGGCAGGTCATACTTTCTACTCCATCACCGGCTTCCCGCCCACGAGGCTAGAGTACAAACTGCAGGGCCACACTGCAACCTCTTGCTGCCGGGGGCAGCACGTGCTCAAAAGAACCTCCTTTGTAGACAGTAGTTTAGGCAGAGGACCAAGGTGGAGAATCTCATGGGCAATGCTTCTAGCTGTGGGTCACAGATGGTATGGGGGTGCCGTGGCTTCCTTCAGGCCTGAGGAAGCAGCACTGAGAAGGTCAGGCCATTGATTCCCCAAGCCCTGGTATGCACCAGCTCACGTAAGGAACCAGCAGCTATTCCCTGAACTCCCAGAGCCGAAAGGAGGAGCCAGAAGATCAACCTCCAAGGTGTCTTGTGACACAGGACCTCTCCACAGAAATGGCCCCAAGCAGCTGAATTTAGTAGGAAGAACACTTAAAGGAAAACTGAAAGTAACAGTGTAATAAAACCAGGCAAATCAGCCCAAAGTAGAAGGGGGACGGGGACTTCCAGAGAGCTCCCCAGCAAGGATGCTCAAGCTGGGTGACCAATGAACAAGGAGGATGGCCTGGGAGCCACTGAGGTATTAGTCTATGACCGCTAAGTGGACTATCTCAGAAACTGAGGTTCTGCAGTCATCAGCTATCATGAGGAATCAGAAATAAGTTCCAGCATGGGGCTACTGGAGGAGTGACCTCCGAGCCCTCCTCAGCCCAACTCTCCTGAGTTACCTGGGGTCATCTTGTTCCACACAGAAAAGTCTAGAAAAACTTCTACCACAGTTGCAGGCGTACACTCCAGTTTTTTGGGGTTTGTTTTGAATAAACTGTAGCCTGTGCCAGACAGAACAGTAACAGTAGTGGGTCTGGCGTGTGCTGGGCACTGCAGTGGCAATCACACGGCTGTTCTGTTTCATCGTTGTCTCCATTTTAGAAGAAGAAAACGAGGCTGAGGGGTGGAGAGTCCTGAGTGTGCAGTGAGGAGCCAAACCTGGGTCAAAGCAGACATGAGACCAGGCGGGCCCTCAGGCTTGTCTCCCTACACACCTGAGCTCCGTGTGCTGAGTGAATCGGCCTTGCTACCATAAACAGAAACCTGAGGGGAGCAACTTCAGGAAGACAGGCAACTGATCCTGGCTGATGAGGTCTGAGGTTTTAGTCCCTTGTAACAGGGGGCAGCTCACATCAGGGTGGCTAGGAAGTGGGGGAGGGGCGCCCGGCCCACTAGCTTTCTTTAACTCCCTTTTTCTACAAGGCCCCAGCCTATCCAGTGTTAGCTGTTCTAGAAGGACACCCTTGCGCGCGTGCGCGCGCGTGCGCGCGCGCACACACACACACACACAGAGAGGTGTACACACCATCACTGCTATGCATGTGTTCACCCACAGGCCCTCGGCAGGCTCAAATCACTATTCAGAGGCCATGAGGAAACAGGAAGGGAAAACCCCAACAGTCCCTCTTTTAAATCATTAATCCATGATATTCACCTAGTTTTGAAATTATTCTGGCAAGCTTCTGAAAGATAAGACAGACAGCAAGCTTTCAAAAGAAAAGAACGAGGTGGTAATCATAAGAATAAAGGGGGCTTCAGCTAAGGACAGCCACTGCTCACAAACCATAGCTCTGAGCTTCCCGACAAAATGGGCAAAAATGGGCCTACTGCTCTGCCAGAGAAAACGGCCTTTCTTAATACAAGTCCACACAGGAGCCATGGCCACAGCAGGACTTGAAGACTTTTAGAAAGACTGAGCAGGGAGCCCCAGACCTGTTCCTCGGTGGGACAGGAAATCGTGGGCGGTGCAGACTTTCAGTGCCTCAGTGGTGTTTACAAATGAGAGAATGGGGAGTTGCTCCTAGCAGACAATGTAAGGAGAGTGCACTGCTCAGATCAGGGCATACCAAGGTTCTAGTGTCCACCATGACTGCCGGGCTCTTCTGCTAGTCTGGGGCTCTGGATTCTGCACTCAGTCCCTGCTAACCCCAGACTCTTGTGCCCTGAACTACTCTGGGCTGAATTTATCCTCTCAGCTTGTGTTCTCAGAGTCAAGTCCGCTGGCACCAGTATCCCCTAGTAACGTGTGAGCAGTGTGAATTCTCAGATACTACAGACCTACTGAGTCAGACATTTGGAGGTGAGTCCTGCAGTCCAGCCACACGCCCAGGACAGCCTTGCTTCTGTGCTGTAAGGCCCTCTGCACTAGCCTGGGGTATTCTGTACTGCTATGTTTGCAGTGTTGGAGTGAGAGTCCAGTGGGGAGCCATGTTCGATGCGTACGAGTATGCCCTTCCTCCCGGGGTGAGCTCTCTGAGAATGAGATGGTGGTGGACTATACTTCCTGTTCTGGAATTCAACAACCATCTACTCATTCTCTCTATTGGCCCAGATCAGCACACTGTGATCAGCACTAGAGAAGCTGAGGCAGGAGGATTACAAGTTTGAGGCCAATTTGGGTTACACAAAGTTTCCAAGGCTAGCCTAGGATACATAGTGAGACATCATCTCCAACACACACACACACACACACACACACACACACACACACACACACACTGGGGGACGTGGGAGGAGGCAGGGAGGGAGGAGAAGGGAGATCAGGACTATGAGCATTGAGCTGTCATTATATAATAGAAGGGGACTGAGGTATGGATTGTGGGAGAGCTGAAGAAGCCATTCCTGAAAGCATTAAAGACTGGTTTAATTTTTACAATATTATGCTTCATATAACCTACTCCAAAACTAAATCTACAAAAGGCTTTGAAGAATAAACAGAAGTTTACCACATATTTGAGGGAAGGAAGGTAGAAAAAAAAATCTACATCAAAGGCAAGAAAAATATTACCCACAGCAGAGGTCTGAAGATGGGTAACAGCCTGATGTGATACAGAAACTTGAAATATTTTCTGAAACATGACATGAGCATCCAGGAGCAGCCAGAAAGCACAAAGCTCGAACACCCCACATGCCTCAGTAGAGGCTCACCCCACATGTCTCAGTAGAGGCTCACCCCACATGTCTCAGTAGAGGCTCACCCCACATGTCTCAGTAGAGGCTCACCCCACATGCCTCAGTAGAGGCTCACCCCACATGTCTCAGTAGAGGCTCACCCCACATGCCCTCAGTAGAGGCTCACCCCACATGTCTCAGTAGAGGCTCACCCCACATGCCCTCAGTAGAGGCTCACATCCACACACTGGCAGCACATCCCTGACACTCCCACTCTGGTAACTGTGGAAGCAAAGGGTAGAGTCTAGGGGGAAAGCACAAGGTTTCTTCAAATTATCTTTTATCTCAAACATCAGTATGAATTTAATGTGCCACATCATGGCACTGCAAACATGTACCCCGTCATGGTACTGCAAGCACACTCCATGTCACGGTACTGCAAGCACGCACCCTGACACAGTACTGCAAGCACACTCCATGTCACGGTACTGCAAGCACACACCCTGACACGGTACTGCAAGCACGCACCCTGACACGGTACTGCAAGCACGCACCCTGACATGGTACTGCAAGCACGCACCCTGACACGGTACTGCAAGCACGCACCCTGACACGGTACTGCAAGCACACTCCATGTCACGGTACTGCAAGCACACACCCTGACACGGTACTGCAAGCACACTCCATGTCACGGTACTGCAAGCACACACCCTGACACGGTACTGCAAGCACACACCCTGACACGGTACTGCAAGCACGCACCCTGACACGGTACTGCAAGCACGCACCCTGACACGGTACTGCAAGCACGCACCCTGACACGGTACTGCAAGCATGCACCTGACACGGTACTGCAAGCACGCACCCTGACACGGTACTGCAAGCACGCACCCTGACACGGTACTGCAAGCACACTCCATGTCACGGTACTGCAAGCACACACCCAAACACAGTACTGCAAGCACACACCCTGACATGGTACTGCAAGCACGCACCCTGACACGGTACTGCAAGCACGCACCCTGACACGGTAC